TGGACATTTCAGTTACATGTGAACATTCAATCATATCTGAATAAGCTTCACTTTTCATTCTCCATATTCACTTTATCGTAATCCTTTTCAATCCAAATACGTTTTCTCTTGAAAACTGTTTCTCAGTGACAATTTACTCAATATAATCCCCTTTTTACTACATCATACACTTTAAAGGTGAGACATTCAGAGATCAGAATGTCCTGTGTGCACTCTCATTTAGTCTCTCTCTCTCTCACACACACACACACACACACACACACCACACACACACCCACACACACACACACACAAACATGTCTGAAGGCATTTCGTACACAGGCTTTAAGCACAGCCTGTCCTTAAAATAATAATAATTTTTTCACAATGTAAAATTGTCAACTTAAACATAATTATCTTTAACCAAATATTTTCTGATTACTATTGAACACAACCATCATTCTGTGTTTAACACCTGTTCACAAGTATAATGACAGATTGGCAACACAGTCCTTATCTTCTCAGTCCAGCACAAAAGACTGATTATATATGATTATTTAACTGTCAGCACAATGACAATGAACCATCATTCAGTGTTTGATGTTTACAACATTTAACATTGTTTTTGTTGTTCAAAAGTATAATGATGGGTTGGTGACACAGTCCTTATCTTCTCAGTCCAACGAACAAAAGGTTGATTATGGCTCATGTCTACACACAAAACTCTAAACATTAGAACAGACATTTCCACAACTTAAACTGCATTTCTCTGGATATTGATCACTTACATTTTTTATTTGTCTTTAACTAAGAATAAAGATGATCAACAAACTGGAGGAAAAAGCTCTGTTGTAGCTCTCTGATGTTTACACAACACATTTTTCAACAAATTTGATGGGATAATAAAGGTTTATTCTATTCTATTTTCACACATAAGGCTGAATGTCAAGTCCTTTAACCCCCTCAGCTTTGATGGCAGGGGGCGGCCAGGGGGACCTAAATCTCTCTCATTACGCCACGTTACTCGACAGAGCCAATCATGTTCTGCAGTGTGATGGTGATGAACCAATCAGACCTGTCAGATGTGGCAAAATGTAGGACAAGCTGGCGTTTTTAAATCTGAGAAGTATACTGCTGCTTCATTAGGTGTGGACTGCTGTACTGAAGAAGGAGACAAGATGAAGATGTTCTTTGTGAATGTTTTCCTGCTCTGCTCTTTATGTAAGTAAAACAAATTGACTTGTGTAAACTTTTGATCTTCATTTGTGTGAAACTGAGTCTGTTTGAATTATTTCAGGTGCAGCACAGTTAAGTGACGTCTCTCAGCCTGAATCTTTGAAAACAGTGAAGATTGGCGACTCAGCTACTATTAAATGCTTCATAAAGAGCGCATCAAAGAAAACCGTGTGGTACAAGGTGACTACAGGGAGGAAACTACAGCTGGTGGTAAAGCTGATTCTTACTATAATGTGAGAGAGTTCAGTGATGAATTTGTTAACCGTTCTTCAGTTAAATTTGACATGACTAACAATCATCTGACTATAAATAAAACATCATGGGAAGATGTTGGAACATACTTCTGTGGAGTCTTACACATAAGTGAGGTTCAGTTTGGGTCAGGAACATTTCTGATGTTGACAGGTATGTTTGGACATGTTTGCATTTCAAATAATTTCAACTGAATATGAACACAGTGCTAACAATCACAGTCCAAATGGTTTGTTTTCCAAGGTGCAAAGACAATCAGCGACTCTGTCGTCCAGCAGCCAGAATCAAAGTCAGTGAGGTCCGGAGACTCTGTGACTCTCAGCTGTTCTGTTCACTCTGCTCAATGCACAGCAGAACTCACTAGTTTCATGTGGCTGAAAAACTCGGATCGTTCTGCTCCAGAGATGATTTATTGCTCTGACAATAAGAACAACATCTCCCAGAGAACTGACAGAGGACGAACTACCTGCGAGTACAACTTTGTCGTCAGGAGCCGGGATGACGCTGGAGTCTACTACTGTGCTGTCAATGCATGTGGACAAATACTGCTTGGAAATGGGACAAGAATCAATAATGGTAAGACACTAGCAGTGCATTTTTAAAGTTTTTACTTTCACTTTAAAGTTCAAAGGTATTGAAATATTTTTCTTCAAAGTGCAGTGCAAATTGTTAAAAAGTTAGAAAACCTTCACTGAAACAGAAAGTCCAAATTTACAAAAACTATTTTACCACCTGATTATTTGTAAAAAAAAAAGTTTTTTAAGTATTTCCCTTAACATATATAAATGGGAGGGTGAAAAACCGATCAGTTCAGTTTTTTAAATTTATTTATTTTTAACCGAGGCAATGTGAAGTACGTACGGTGTCCACAGAAAGTCAGATCTAATTAAACGCATTAAAAATAAAAAACCCACAAACCACCCATTCAAGTCAAGTGGCAGATCATCTTCTTCATGTAAGTGTTTGTCAAGAAAATGTGGTAGCTTTGAAGAGATCAGAGATGAGAAAAGGTTTTCACTTTGCACCAGGTTGTCGCAGCAAGTGGTAAAAAAACCAAAAATCTGAATATACCATATACTTCATTTATCTTTATCTGTTTCACTGCTGTCTGACTTTGTTGACCCATTTGTGTAGAAAACAAAATGCTTGTGGTAACAGTAAGTAGCCAAATTCTACATTAAATCCAGTTAATCCAATTATGTTGTCTAAATCGTAATGTTGTTTAAATGTTAAATCATGTATCATGTTACAGCAGACACTGAAAGCATATCACTGAGTCCGACGTTATTGCACTGATGCTGTCAAACATGTTCTTGGAACTGTGACGCTCCTCCTTGTAGTGACATTTTGCAAGACAAGAATGAAGAAATCTGCAGGTATGTAAAACTTTATGCAGGATGAGATCCACATTCTGTTATTCTGCAGTAACTACTAACTATAGGTATCTTTTAATGCTTGTTTTTCCACAGAAGCGGCCGATGAAGGCGGTCAGGTGAGAGTTTGTCTTAGTCCATCCACCTCATGGCAGCCTATCCCACTCATCAAACAGCAATAGATTATTTCACATATTTTAATTTGTTTGTCAGGACATGACTATATTTATTATATATTTATTTATTGGTATTTCCTTTTTTCACAGACTGGTGATACAGTCGTCTATACATCTGTGTGTTTGACTCACAATAGTATCAGGCCCAGACAACCTACAGTAAAAGCCAACAAAGATGCTGTAATTTACTCTACACTCAAACCCTGACAACAGAACATCAAAGTTTCATCAGGGGAATACGACCAAGCTATGACAAATAATGGCTAAGGGATGTCTTGCAACCCTCATAGGTAGTATATCTCTGTTCAGTGGTGCATACAAGCATTCAAACTATAATCAAAGAAGTTTAGTACATTTTCTCAACTTCACCTCTTTGTAGGCTAAATTCACATTTTTGTATCCTTCGGATTTTAAAACCAGCATGCTTTTCATGGACTGTCACATTTAACAACCAGCTTCTCACTAATGGAATGTATAAGTCTTCAGTTATTTACTCTGCCTTGCACTGTGAAAACCAAATGTACTGTTTTGATATACTTTGATATGTTTGGACTGAAATACTTTCCATTTCACAAATTGTCCTAAAGAACACTTTGCTATGTGATGTTTGCTGTAGGTTGTATTGGCAGCAAGCTTTGGGAAACATATAACGAAGTGATCCAACATTGAATAAAAGTGTTGTGATTATTTACATGACAATATATGTAATTGTTTCTACGAATGTAAAATGTTTTACAATAAAAATGTTCATGTTTGGAAAAACCCTACACTGACCAACGATTACACCCTTCTTCTATAATCAATATAATATTTTAAGTTAAACAGAGTCATGAACAGATACAGAAGGTTAAGATGGCAGTGATAGGACTGTGTTTGTATCTCTGACCAGTCCTTGGCTGGTTTTTGACAGTAATGAGATCCAGTGATGTAGTGTGTACAGCCATGAGAGGTATACCCTTAAGCAGGATATAGGAAAGCTTGTGTTTCCACCAGGAGACCAGCCAGAAGCTCATTTGTTTACTACCTGCACTTTAAATTTGCTCAGGGCTTCTGTAATTGAGTGGACTTGGTTTGAATGTGTAAAAATAATGACTACTTTTTATTTAGATTCAGAAGTAACTGAGTTTGTGACTTTGATACATGAGTGAAAATTGTAAAAAACGATTACATCCTTGTGTCTTTAATTTAACGTGATGTTATGTAAACTAGACTTAACCTCGAAAAGGAGTTCCAACCACTAAACAGTATTATCAATTTATCGAAAACTAGATAAATAGTTGTGAAAAATAGAATGTTTATAACAACTAACTATTAGTGATAACAATTCTTCTGATGTATAAAGAATGAACAAGAGAAAGAGAAGATAGAAAGTGCAGCCATGAGAGATCTAGCATCTAACATGTCAGTGACTCTATCATGCTTTCTACGAGAACATGCAAAAGCTTCGTGATAACATTACTAGAATAGTATAATCAAAACTATTGATTATATATATGTACCACAATATGAGACAACTCAAATGTTAAAAAGATTTAGAGACAGTGCAATGTATATAATAACTAAGATCTGAGTCAAAAGAGAGCAATACGCCCAGAACAGACGCTAAAGAACATGATTCATATAGCTAGCAGATGAATAAGTCCACAGATCAGCAGATGCCAACAGTTTAAAAACACCCAATTTACCCCCTCGGTGCTAACAGTAAAAAATTGAGATACGATGCATGAAAAGATTAAAATGCTTTACTTTAAGTCAAGATTTGGGTTTATTAATGATAAAGAAACTGGTCTGTCATATAAAAATGACAGAAAGAGAAAGAAAGTGAGCAAGAGATTACATCAACATGTCAGCTTTCATCTCACATGCCTCTGTCTTACAGAATAGATAATAAAAATTTTATTTAGAACAAAACAAAGAAAAAAAGAGCAGGCTTTAAACTGATCGAGCAGGAGCTAGAGAACAGCCTAAACATTTCAAAGCTGCAGTAATAAGTTCATGTCTAGACATGTGGCATCAAAGTCGGAACGGCTTCAGTTCAGTGTAGCTTCACCCTGGAGTACACACATTCACTCCAGATACCATCTCTCTGTTCATTTGATCTCTTGATTTCGAGGTTTTCTTCACCTCGAACCTGAGAAACAGTACAATAATGTGAATGAAATCTAAGTTATGAGCCATTAAGGATAGTGTAATGATTATATAAATATTCAACTAAACAGCACACACCTTGGACAGAGGTGAAAGTCCTGAGCTAAACTCTGAAAAGCAGGCAAAGTGATTGATGTTATGCTCAGTGGAACACACAGTATAGAGATCAACAGCATCGGTTACTGTACAGTGGTAGCGGTTTCTCTTACTGATCATGAACACAGCGAAAACCAGATAAACACCCATGATGATGATGATGATGATGCATGGTATTGGTGTCTCATGATAATTGATGCCGTCTGCAAATGCAGACAGAAGGAGGCATAAGAAGTTCAGTTCAAAGCAACTTCTAATGTATAAAATAAAAAGCAAAACAGATCTTAAACAGTTAATCATCATACGTGCATTTTGGAAATTTTAAACGCATGATTTTCTACGGCAAAGTTACTTACACTTAAAACCAATCTTGGTCCCATTTCCAAGCAGAATTTGTATTTTGGGGTATTGGTATTTTTAAAGGTTTTAATTAGATCTGACATTCTGATAAAAAGGACAAATCTGGCAAAGTTTCACAAACTTGTTGTCTTTGGATCTAATCGACTGGAAACTACACTTTAAAGAAACACATTTAAAAACCGTTGAACCTTAAGGTGGAAGCCTTAAAAAGTTGAAAAAAGCACTGCAACTGTCTTACCATTATTGATTCTTGTCCCATTTCCAAGCAGTATTTGTCCACATGCATTGACAGCACAGTAGTAGACTCCAGCGTCATCCCGGCTCCTGACGACAAAGTTGTACTCGCAGGTAGTTCGTCCTCTGTCAGTTCTCTGGGAGATGTTGTTCTTATTGTCAGAGCAATAAATCATCTCTGGAGCAGAACGATCCGAGTTTTTCAGCCACATGAAACTAGTGAGTTCTGCTGTGCATTGAGCAGAGTGAACAGAACAGCTGAGAGTCACAGAGTCTCCGGACCTCACTGACTTTGATTCTGGCTGCTGGACGACAGAGTCGCTGATTGTCTTTGCACCTTGGAAAACAAACCATTTGGACTGTGATTGTTAGCACTGTGTTCATATTCAGTTGAAATTATTTGAAATGCAAACATGTCCAAACATACCTGTCAACATCAGAAATGTTCCTGACCCAAACTGAACCTCACTTATGTGTAAGACTCCACAGAAGTATGTTCCAACATCTTCCCATGATGTTTTATTTATAGTCAGATGATTGTTAGTCATGTCAAATTTAACTGAAGAACGGTTAACAAATTCATCACTGAACTCTCTCACATTATAGTGAGAATTAGTTTTTACCACCAGCTGTAGTTTCCTCCCTGTAGTCACCTTGTACCACACGGTTTTCTTTGATGCGCTCTTTATGAAGCATTTAATAGTAGCTGAGTCGCCAATCTTCACTGTTTTCAAAGATTCAGGCTGAGAGACGTCACTTAACTGTGCTGCACCTGAAATAATTCAAACAGACTCAGTTTCACACAAATGAAGATCAAAAGTTTACACAAGTCAATTTGTTTTACTTACATAAAGAGCAGAGCAGGAAAACATTCACAAAGAACATCTTCATCTTGTCTCCTTCTTCAGTACAGCAGTCCACACCTAATGAAGCAGCAGTATACTTCTCAGATTTAAAAACGCCAGCTTGTCCTACATTTTGCCACATCTGACAGGTCTGATTGGTTCATCACCATCACACTGCAGAACATGATTGGCTCTGTCGAGTAACGTGGCGTAGCGAGAGAGATTGAGGTCCCCCTGGCCACCCCCTGCCATCAAAGCTGAGGGGGTAAAAGGACTTGACATTCAGCCTTATGTGTTAAAAATGTGTTAATAAAGTTTAGAGTGGTAAAACAGATTTCATACAGTCTTACATCTTCATTCGTAATCAAAAATCAATCAAAAACGTAAGTGATCATGCAGAGAAATGCAGTTTAAGTAGTGCAAATGTCTAATGTTTAGAGTTTTCTGTGTAGACATGAACCATAATTAATCTTTTGTATTCATGTGCTGAATATGAATATGAAGAAAGGGGAGAGAGAGACTACATGAGAGTGCACACAGTATATTCTGATCTCTGAATATCTGACATTTCAAGTTCATGATTTCGTTAAAAAGGAGATTGTATTGAGTAAACTCTGATTGGCAAACACAATTTTAAAGAGAAAAAGTATTTGGATTAAAGGAATATGCTAAGGTGAATGCTCTAATGAAATCTAAAATGAATGAAATATAAAGTAAAGCTTATTCACATATGACTGAATGTTCAAATGTAACAGAACTGTCGATGTTAAGAGGTTAACAGTTTGGACAGTTCAGAAGTTCAGCAGAGATGCTCAGAGGCAGGAGACTGCCCACAATCTGGACTTGCTGTTATGTCAATAATCCAGTCATTCATAACACAAAGCAAATCCAGGCATATCTTGAGTACTTTTAGCTAATTACATACTCCATCTGTGGTTTCTTTTATATTTTATGTTTTTTTTTATGTTTGTCACACTTAAATGTTTCAGATCATCAAAAACTTTAGATAACACAAACTTCAAAAAATGCCTTTTCCAAATGAAGGTGTTTATTTATAAGAACAGAAAACCTACATGGTCCTTTGTGAAAACGTCTTTGCCCCATATAACCTAATGAACCTAATAACTGGTTGGGCCGCCATTAACAACAACAACAACTGCAGTCGAGCGTTCGCTGGCAATCAGTCTTTTACAGTGCTGTGTAAGGGCAGGGGGCAGGCACTTTTTCAAACCACTGTATACACACTCCACTCACGTTCTGAGCTAAACACGCAAACATCAGAAAATTTGAAATTATTTTAATTTGGTTTTGGGGGTTCAAAGAGATTCTCATAAGGTCCTGTGTTTCTACACTGAGACCAAAAGCCTGTCCACTCTTCTGCTTTACACAAGAATAGACAGCATAAATTGGGATGCCTGGAGGTGTTCTGGGTTGGTCTCCAGCAGCCTGTGAGTTTAGCAGTTCAGTGGCTTGGATCATTTCCAGGTGGATTGCAGCTTCTCTAGACTTCCAAGGCCTTCCCTGTGGATTAAAACTTTAAGCAGTCCTTCTTTTCCCATTATATCAATGAACACAGAGCATCAAAGTCGAACACATCTTCAGTGCTGGAAGTCCCTATCACCACCAACCTCTCTCTCCCTCAAAGATATGAACACAATCACCATTAGCGCGGAGTGGGTTAATTAAATAAGAAGTTTTTAATGTTTTATGTTCTTCACACTTAAATGTTTCAGATCATCAAACAATTTTTCAACATTAGACAATATATAATATAGGACCGGAGTGCAGGACTCGAACACAAACAGGTGAACTCAACAGCTCTATTCTAGCTTTATTTGCTGGGAAAAAACTGTAACATCAAAAATGAAACTAAACTTGACACATGACAAAAAACAAGAAACTCAGAGTAGAATTGGCCAGGAACACAAAGGGAAAAACACAGCACTGTGAGGGTACGGCATGACAAAGGGAAGAGGAAAAGACAGGGCTAAAATACACAAGGAAGTAAAAGGAATGGGAAACACAGCTGTGACCAATCTGACTTAATGAGACGAGGGGGAAGCAAAACACACCACTGAACACAGGACACAAGATGTCCGTGAAGGTTCTCAGTCATCCAGGTCATCGTAGTCTAAGGAGCTTGCAAAGAAAAGCGTCTGGACTTCTTTAAGTTGCTTGAAGACGTTTCACCTCTCATCCGAGAAGCTTCTTCAGTTCTAAGGTCAAATGGTGGAGAGTCCCAGATTTAAACCCAGTGGGAGTTTCCCCCCAAAGAGGGACAAAAGGACCCCCTGATGATCCTCTACCTAATCACATGAGCCAAGGTGTGAAAACGGTGTGGGTCACAATCAGCCAGGGTTTCGGGTGAGCTCATTGTGAAACCTGGCCCCACCTTATCATGTGATTTCCTGAGGTCAGATGGCCCAGGATGTGAGTGGGCGTTAAGGGTCTGGGGAAGGGAACTCAAAACTGGATTATAGATGGCAGACAGTTGGTGTCGTAAACCACCGCCTCTGTTCAAAGATGGTCGCTCACAGTGGACATAGATGGCTTCTTTCACTCCTCTTTCAAACCATCTGTCCTCTCTGTCCAAAATGTGAACATTGGCATCCTCGAAAGAGTGTCCTTTGTCCTTTAGATGCAGATGGACTGCTGAGTCTTGTCCTGTGGAGGTGGCTCTTGTGAACAGGAGATAGTTTATTTTCTATTTTTTGTATACTTAGGATCACAGTATAAGCAGAAGTATCAATCAGTAATCATTTGTAATCACAATCAGTTGACAGAATAATCTTTGAACTACATTTATGAGAATATTAATCAATACAGATTATCAGTACTTTAATTAGTCTACTGTTGTTCTGTACTATTCTTGTGATTTGCTTAAAGCTGTGGCCTAGTTCTGTTTTACAGAAGCCTGTGGGTCCTGCTGGACCCTGGCTTAGGATGTTATCTGCCTTAAGTTCTGCACGTACGCAGGCCTTTAGAGAACTTGCACGTACTTATATAACTCACGCACGTTTACACACACACTTAATAAGAATACTAGGGTCGTTTGAGGACACCATTCTGATAGATATACTTTCACAAAATGCACACTGTAATACACACTTGTTTTTCTCTAAATCTAGCAGTTCATGTCCATATTAGGTAAACTGTTAGACCAGGCCCAAATTGTTATCATTTCCAGTAAGTTCTGACTGTGTGATGTCATCATGTTAATAAAAGGATGAAGATGCCTCCGCCCAGCGGAGATTCTTGATGTGAAACTGTTTTCCCCACACTTCTGCGCAAAGTGTGTAATAAAATCACTATGTTTGTCACCCATACGGAATCAGCTTGTTTTTCCTTCTTAACCAAAAAGAACCAGACGTAACAACTTGGTGCCGAAACCTTCGGGTGGTGTAGAGGAGCAGGGTGCAGCTGTCCCGTGGGCGACAGGGGCGAACGCCAGCAGAGCCTATCTGAGTGACGCCAGGCGACATAATAAGAAAGGTGAGTGCCACCTGTTGATTTTCATCCAAAGGCGCTATATTGGAAGTTAAAACTAAATTTAATTAAAATAATATTCACTCAGTTGGGATTTCTGGTGTTTGTCCATAGTGATTTTTGTAATTGGCGTTTAAAGTTTAAAGTTTAAAGTTTGATTGATAAAGTTATTGATGCTCTGTGTGGAAGCGAATTTTAAGAGGTTATTTGAGGTTAAAATACTAAGGTTTAAGGTTAAAATACTAAGGTTTAAGGTTAAAATACTAAGGTTTAAGGTGAAGAGAATACGGTATAAGGTTAAAAAACACGGTTGAAAAGGTATAAACCGTTGTAGGTGGTTGGGTGCCAGCGGCCACCTCGTTAGTGTAGGGTTTTCGGTTTAATTGAGTTGAGAGACGGGGTCTCGGGCTTCAGATAATTAAACGGCGCTGAGAGCGCACCGTGAGGCTTTTAAAACAAGTCAATTTTTTTTTAGGACTGGAGACGTGGTCTCCTAAGGGCGTAGTTGCTCAGCACTGTGGCGGTGACTCCTGACCTCGGACGCGGGATCAGGTTTTTTGCTCGGTTGGTTGCCGGGGAATTTCGGGCATCCCAAATTAACCGAAGCAGTCGACGGGAGACTGCTTCCTTACTGCGCCAGATTGATTGACAGGGTCGGGGACCCGGCTGCCTCCTACTTAAACGTCAGGAGCTTGTGAACTTTAAGAAAAGCCAGAAACGTGAGCCGGGACATCATTGCCTTTCACGCACCTGGTGGAGATCCGAGTTTTTATCTGGCGAGGTGCAGTTTTAAATTAATTAGAACTTAGTAATGAGGCCGTTTTCAAGGTGGCGTACTGA